TTTTTGAGACAGAGAGAGAGCATAAGCAGGGGAGGGGCAGAGAGAGAGGGAGACACAGAATCCGAAGCAGGCTCCAGGCTCTGAGCTGTCAGCACAGAGCCTGACGCGGGGCTCGAACTCACGGACTGTGAGATCATGACCTGAGCTGAGGTCGGACACTTCACTGACTGAGCCACCCAGGTGCCCCTGCCCATTTTTTAATAGCCCCTGCTTTCATTCTGAGGTATGTCCGGGGGTGGAAGAGAGAGGGTAGATGTGCAGTCACCTCGCTTAGATTCCCAGCCAGCCGTCACCGCCCCCTTGCACGCTGAGCTCCCTTTTGCCCTGCTCTGGTTTTGCATGGTGCTCTGACCTAACCACGGGCCAGTTCAAAGCCGCCTGCTCTCCCCCCCTACCTGCATTTGTCATTGGACAGAAACATTTAAACGTGTGGGCTGGCTTCTCTTTAAATCTCGGATCCTTTATGGCAACGGAGCTCTCAACGCTGCCTGGCAATCATTCTGCATTTCCCTAATCTGTTCACTTCCCTCCTCTCCACAGTGATTATTGCATACCACCTTCTCTGAAATCCTCCTCTCCCAGCCTCACCCTCAGCTGTTTGCCCTGCTTTCTCTTTCCCTAAAGAAGCAGAAACCATCAGAGGAGAATTTCCCCACGCTCGCCCCCAGCCCAGGTCCTAGCAAAGGGCAGCTTCTCCTACCGGTCAGACATGTGGCTCCCCCCTCTTCTGTTGTCAACATTACTACAATTTCCAGACCTTTCCTGTTGACCTATAAACGTACTGTTAGACCTCTTGTCTTTTACTTTTGTATTTTATGAGGTAACTTTTTTAATATTTATTTTTGAGAGTGGCAGTGGGGGGGGAGGGGGAGGAGAAGAGAGAGAAGGAGACAAGTTCTGAAGCAGGCTCCACGCTGTCAGCACAAAGCTCCACATGGGGCTTGAACTCACGAACCATGAGATCGTGACCTGAGCTGAAGTGGGATGCTCAACCAACTGAGCCACCCAGAGGTCCCTTTAAAGGAATTTTTTTTAAGTTTATTTATTTATTTTGAGAGATAGAGAGCATGCATGCATGTGCATGTGCAGGGGAGGGGCAGAGAGAGAGAGAGAGAGAGAGAGAGAGAGAGAGAGAGAGAGAGAATCCCAAGCAGGCTCCATGCTTAGTGTGGAGCCTGACTCTGGGGCTTGAACCCACGAACTGTGAGATCATGACCTGAGCCGAAATCAAGAGTTAAATGCTTAACTGTGTCACCCAGGTGCCCCTATAGAGTAATTTTGATCTCACTTCACCCTCCATCTTTCCATTCCCCAAGCCCCTTGGCCCCCACTCACTGCTCTTTCTTTTGTTTTATAGCCAAAGCATTTGATTTGTCTGTACTGGGTGTCTCCAGTTCCTTTTTTCCTGTTCCTTCTGGCACCTGCCCTGATCAGGCTTTTGTCCCCGGTCCTCATGTTAAGATCGCTAGTGATTGACATACTGCACAATCCAGTTGTTGGCTGTCCTACTTGACTTAGGATTTAGTGCCGGTGATCATTCCCTCCTCCCAGAAGTACTTTGGTTTTTCCTTGGCCGTGGTACGCCGTCCTCTCTGGTCTTCCCTTGGCTTTGGGACAGTGTCCTCCCTAGGCTTCCCTCCTACCTCACAGCTCTTCCTTCTCCGCCTCCTTTGCTGGCTCGTCTTCATTTTCTCACACATGATCCCCCGCTAACCATACTGTATATTTTATTTATTTATTTTGTTCCTCTTCCTCTGCTAGCATATAAGGCATTCTTTGTTTATCGCCAGTACCTGGAATATGGGAGGCTCTAAGTACTTGGGTAATTAATCAGTGGATTACCAAACTCATGGGAGAACCAAGAAAGAATGTGGGTGGCTCCGTGGGACCTCAGGAACCAGTGACACTGGACAGACACTATATAACACACGTGTTCTGCCTAATAGGTTTGGTGCAAAAACCCAATATAAAAATTTCAGTTTCTAGCTAGGCAGATTATAGAATTAATAATCTTATTAAAGGATAAAAAGAGTATGTTTAATTCATTTATTCATCCATTCAACCAATACTGAAGTACCTTCCGCGTGCCTGACATTGAGCTGTCATAATATAGATGATTCCTAATGTGTATATGCTTAGGGATTTCTGTTTCCACAGAGAAGCAGGGAGTAACGTGCTTAAACGTAAAGTTAGTGTAGCCATGGACACTCGCCCAAAATGTTAAAACAGTGTCTCTGTGGGAAGGACTAGAGCTACAGGTGCGTGTTCCAGTCACTTGAGTAATAACCCCATTCTGACCGAGAGCATCATATGATGAAACAGAAAGAACCCATTTCTCCCTTGCTCTGCTCCTCCCAGCGGACTCTCCCTCACCCAGCAGAACCTCAGGGGAGGGCAGGCAACTGGCATGGCCTAGAGTCCCCCTTGGGTGATGGGTTCAACCACGTCTCCTCCCGTCCTCTAAGCGTCAGCTCTGCCTCCTGTCCTTGAGGGCACCGCAAGTCTCCCAGATTCCCTCACGCCCACCAAATCGTTCCAGTCTCTTCTGCTTCATCTAGCATGGTGGCCTGTAGCCTGCTTCCAGATCCGTGTGGTTTTCCTTCCGGGTTTCCGGATTTTCTTAAGTGCTGTCGTGCGGCAGTTTGCGCCTAAATTCCAATTCCCCCGTCATTGTGCTCTCAGATGTACGTCCATTTTAACCAGGCCTGTTGGAAATCACCTCTTTCTGGTGCTTCGTTCCAGATTCCGTGCTTGTGGTGAAGGCAAGGCAGCCAAAGCCTTTCTTTGCTGCAGGAAATACATTTGAGATGACGTGCAAAGTGTCTTCCAAGAATATTAAGTCGCCGCGCTACTCTGTTCTCATCACCGCTGAGAAGCCTGTTGGGGACCTCTCCAGCCCCAATGAAACCAAGTACATCATCTCCCTGGACCAGGATTCCGTGGTGAAGCTGGAGAACTGGACAGACGCATCGCGGGTGGATGGCGTTGTGCTCGAGAAGGTGCAGGAAGATGAGTTTCGTTATCGAATGTACCAGACTCAGGTGTCGGATGCGGGGCTGTACCGCTGCGTGGTGACAGCCTGGTCTCCTGTCCGGGGCAGCCTGTGGCGAGAAGCAGCAACCAGTCTGTCCAACCCTATTGAGATCGACTTCCAGACTGCTGGTGAGTAGGGAGCCCTGTTGAACCTCACACTGAACTAGAGAGACCCTAGGATCTTGATCCAGTGGCTTACTTTTTTTTTTAAATGGCTTTCTTTATTGAGGTGTGATTCACGTGCCATACAGTTTACCCATTCAGAGGGCATAATTCAGTGGCTTTGAGGACAGTCACAGCTGTGAAGCCATCACCACAGTCGATTGGAGAACATTTTCCTCATACGCCTGCAGAAATCCTGTACCCCTCCACCAACACCCTTCAATCCCTAGCCTCCCAGCAAGCACTCCCCTTCTTTCTGTCTCTATACACATACCCGTTCTGGACACTTTACGTTAATGGAATATAATATATGGTCTTCATGTCTTTTTTTTTTTTTCCACCTTAACATAGGGTTTTCTGTTTTTTGTTTGCCTGTATTCTTAATTGTTAAACAGTGTCCTCAGGGATATCCATGTTGTAGCATGTATCAGTAATTCATCCATTTTTATGGCTGAATAATACTCCATGTGCAGAGACACGACGTTTTCTTTGTCTGTTTATCAGCTTGTGGCCATTCGGGTGTTTTCTAGTTCCTGGACCATTGCGAATAATCCTTGTGAACATTCGTGTATCAGTTTTTGTGTGTAAAAACTACCTTTTTTTTTTTTTTAAATAGATGAACCCAAACTCAGCTATTTTAGAACCTTTAGAGAACATGGTGGAGTACAAATAGAAGAGGGAGCCGAACCCCCAGAGGCGTTGTAAATGGCTTGCCAGAAGTGCAAGGTTCAGAGCCAAGACCCCCGTGGCATCCAGCCCCATAGCTTTCACTCTTTAGTGGGTCTTTAGGGGTCCCCAGGACTGAAGGTGATGGGCACTAGTTTTGGTCCAACTTACAGAGCAGTATTTCCCCGCAGGGGGTGAGCTTCTGACCTTATGCCTCCCCTTGCTTTGGGACTGGAGAAAGATTTCCCGTCAGTTAATTGAGTTACCGGAGCTGTGGTGGTATGGATGAATGAATGTACCTGTCCCCAGTTCGTTAGGAATAGTTATTGGTGGTGTTCATGTATGGGAAGATCAGTTAAAACAAGGGCATTTTTGTGTCTATTTCCGACTTGATTTTATCTTTGGTTAAGTAGAATGTTTTTATGCTGTAAGGCGGAAAGGCCCACTTTTTTTTTTTTTTTTTAATGGCATGGATACATAGAGAAATGTTTCTTTTTCATCTGTGTAATTCATGAAGCTTTTCTGAAATCTCTGCCTATGTGTGTGCATTTTGGTAGGTAGGTCAGTTAAAAGTTTTTGATCCCCAGTTTTGTTTAGGATATCAAGGTGAAACGATCATCATTTGTGAGTTTAATGTTGAATGTTTTCAGTCAATCTCCCATGAATCCCAGGGAGAAATTTCTGAACGTGTACATTTATACTCACCTGTAAAAATTCAAGTGTTAATTGAATCAGCATAGTGAATACGAGATATTTGTTGAATTAAATGATTACCTTTTATATTAAAAGTAAACTAGACCTTAAAGTTTATTTTTTTCTGTTAAAGTTTTTTTTTTTAGTATTATTTTGTATTAACATTAAACTTTAATACTATAATGAAGTTATCTTGGGGCACCTGGGTGGCTCAGTTGGTTAAGCATCCGACTCTTGATTTTGGCTCAGGTCATGATCTCATGGTTCCTGAGTTTGAGCCCTGTGTTGACATCAGACGCTGTGTTGATAGCTGACAGTATGGAGCCTACTTGGGATTCATTCTCTCTCTCTGTCACTCTCTCAAAATAAATTTTAAAAAAACTTAAAAAAATTGTCTTCTGGCATCTTCTAATCCGTTAACCTTTAGGTTACTGAAGAGGAAATATTGATTTAAACCCTGAGATTTGGAAAGAGCAGAGAAAGCGCAAGTTTCTTTTGTTGTGTATTTGCTTGTTTGTTTTTTTAATAATAGCTTTATTGAATTACAGTTAACACATTGGAAAAGTCACCCATGTGAACTGTACAATTGAGTAATTTTTAGTATATTCACAGAGTTGTGCAACCGTCCACAATCTCTTCCGGAATTTTTCATCGCTCCAGAAAGAAACTCAACTCATTAGTACTCCCCGCCCCCACCCCCAGCCCCCCGCAGCCACTAATCTTTCTGTCTCTGTAGAGTTGCCTCCTCTGGACATTTCACATAAATTGAATCACATATGTGGACATTTGTGCCTGGCTTCTTTCATTTTACATTATGTTTTCAAGCGTCCATGTTAGGGCGTGTGCCATTGCTTCATTCCTTTTCGTGGCTGAATAGTATTCCATTGTGTGGCCGTCCCACATTTCGTTTATCCATTCGTCTGTTGATGGACATTAAGTTGTTTCCACTCTTTGGCTACTGTGAATCATGCTGGCATAAACTTTAGCGTACAAGATTTTGGATGGACACGAGGGTTCATTTCTCACCGAGGAGTGATGCTGGGTCATATGGTAGCTCTCTTTAACTCTGAGGAACTGCCATGTTTGTTTTCCAAAGCAGCCGCTCAGTTTTATATTCCCACCGGCAACGTGTGATGGTTCTAAGTGTTCCGCATCCTCACCAACCCTGGTATTCTCCATCTTTTCTAGAAGAGCCAACCTGGTGGGTGTGTGAAGTAGTATTTTATTGTGGCTTTAATTTGCATTTCCCCAATGACTGTTGATGTTAGGCATCCTTTCGTGTACTTATTGGTCATATGTGTATCTTCTCTGGAGAAATGTCTGTTCAGATTGTTTACTCATTTTTAAATTGAGTTATTTATCTTTTTATCATTGGTTAGTTGAGTTTTTCATACGGTCTGGATACAAGCCCCTTCACAGATACATTGTTTAAAAATACCTTCTCCCCGTCTGGGTAGTCTTTTCATTTTGTTGATGGTATCCCTTGAAGCATGCAACCTTTTAATTTTGATGAAGTCCAATTTAGTTTTTTCTTTTTTTGTTTATGTTTTTGGTGTCTTGTCCAAGTAACGATTTCCTGATCCAAGGTTGTGAAGATTTATGGTTCTGTTTTCTTCTAACAGTTTTACATTTCAACTCTTAACATTTAGGGCTATGATCCATTTTAGTTAATTTTTGTGTATGGCAGGGGAAGGGATTCAGTTTTGCCTTGTTACATGTGAAGAACCAGCTTTTCTTGCACCATCTGTTGAATAGCCTCTTCTTTCCCCCTTGACTTGTCTTGGCACACTTGTCAAGAATCATTTACCCATAAGTGTAAGGGTTTTTTAGACTCTCAGTTCTATAACATTGCTTTGTATGTCTGTTCCTATACCAGTACCACATTGTTTGATTACTGAGCTGTGAGGTAAGTTTTGAAATCAAGAAATATGAGCCTTCCCAACTTTGTTCTTTTTCAAGATTGTTTTGGCTTTTCTAGGTCCCTTGCATATCTGTATGAATTTTAGGATCACCCATTAATGTCTGCAAAAATGACAGCTGGGACTTTCATAGGACTTCTGTTGAATCTGTAGATCAGTTTGGAGAGTATTGCCATATAACAGTACTGCCTTCCAATCCATGAACATGGTACATGTTTTTATTTATTTGGGCCTTCTTTAATTTCTGTCAGTGATGTTTTATAGTTGTCAGCATACAAATCTTGAACTTCTTTCATTAAATTTATCCTAAGTATTTTATTTTTTGATGCTATTGTAAATGGAATTGCTATTTATTTATTTATTTATTTATTTATTTATTTAGAGGGAGGGAGGGAAGGAGAGAGGGAGAGAGGGAGAGAGGGAGAAAGGGAGAAAGAGAATCCCAAGCAGGTTCCATGCTGTCAGCACAGAGTCCGACATGGAGCAGGAGCCCACGAACCAGCAGATCATGACCTGAGCCAAAATCAAGAGTTGGACGCTCTACTGACTGAGCCACCCAGGCACCCCTGGGATGGCTCTCTTAATTTCCTTTTCTGTTTATTCGTTGCAAGTGTATAGAAAGAAACACAACTGATTTTTGTATATCGATGTCAGGTTCTGCAACCTTTTATATTGATGTCAGACTCTGTAACCTTGTTGGACTTATTATTAGTTTTAATTGGTTTTTTTTTTTTTTTTTTTTTTTTTTTTTTTTTTTTTTTTTTTTTTTTTTTTTTTTGGTTGATTCCTTGGACTGTTTTCAATACAATGAAATGGCATCTGTGAATAAAGACAATTTTAATTTTTCCTTTCCAAACTGAATGCCTTCTAATTCTTCTTCTTGCCTAATTGCCCTGGCTAGCATCTCTAGTACAATGTTGAATGGTAGTGGCACGAGAGGATATCCTTGTGTGGTTCCTGATCTTACGGGGAAAGGTTGCAGTTTTTTACCATTAAGAATCATTGTAACTGTGGGTTTTTCATAGATGCCCTTTATTGAGTTGGGGAAGTTTCCCTTCATTACTGGTTTGGTGAGTGGTTTTTTTTGTTTGTTTTTATTTGTTTGTTTTTACCATGAGAGATGGTGAATGTTGTCAAATACTTATTCTGTATCTATTGATATTCAGAGGATTATGTGGTCTTTGTCTTTCATTCATGTATCTGTTTTACTCTCTATAGGAGTTTATTCCATCTTGTTTTACATTTGTTATTTGCTGTTTCTCTCGAATTGTTATGGGAAAGAAGGGAGACATAAGATCTTTTTATTCCTGGGTGAGGAATGGGTATTGAATCTATTTCTCAATTCTTTAAATCTCTGCACAACAGATAAAATGATAAAAGGTTGAAGACTGGCTTCGGTCTTAGACTGGCTAAGATTTTTATTGTATTTAATCCATGCAGTTGTCATGGCCAGTTCACAGTTGAGTTAGGAGAAGTTGCCATCAGATCCTTCCAGCACAGTGCCCTCACCCCGATTGACTCCCAGCAAGCACTGACTTGATATTGAAGAGTGTTTGCTTCCTAAAAATCAGCAGCATGCCATAAGAGCCATATGACAAAGAGGTCCTTCCTGGTGTCCACCTTTCTATCCTCTGGTTTGGGGGTACTTGCATCTTGGTACGAGGACAGTGTTTCCCAAGGGGCCCTGCTGAGTCATGAATTTCACTGACCCAAAGTGTCAGGGGGAAATATGGATTAAATGTTATGGTGTTCAAGGTTTTGGCCTTTCAAAAAGGATAATACGAAAGCTCTTCTCCTTAAAAGAGAAAAAATTTTAAATATGATACAGTAGAGAAGGAAAAGAATTACCCATAACCTACCAGACCTTGTTAATTGGTGTTGTCTGTCTTCCTAGAAATCTTCTCTTACGTGTTTTCTTCATGACTGTGACTTCAGGCCATATATACATTTTCATGATCTGCTTTCCCACCTTAACCTTATAAGATACGTATTTTTCATGTTAAAACGAATTCTAGGTAAATAACAACTTTAATGACTACACCTCCTAGAAAATTTGGTTAACCATTACCCTATTGATGGACACGCGGGTGGCCTACAGTTTGGGCTTTCACAAAAACACTGCTGTTTATAACCTTTTTTTAGGGGCTGGAGTTGGAACATGGTCCCGTCGGTGTTTGTATTTAAAAACTAAGTGGTCCGTGTGCTTACTCTCTGCAGACTAGGAATCGGGGGACATCTAGTGACTCTGATTGTTCACTTACATTCTCTGTGCCGACGTCTGTCATCTGTGAAGTTAACCAAATTCCCTCGCAAAAACAGCATTACCACAGAAATTGACCATAATAAAAATATTTCCAAGGCTGGCATAAAGACCCATATTAACAGCAAGTTGTTGATTTCATTAGAAGGAAGTGCACCGCCGTTTATATATCACAATGAAGGCCTTTTCCCAGACCCTTGTCTGCATCGTGAGCCGTAGCACAAGTGCTCCGTTGTTCCCACAGCCGTAGCCGCTAGGGGAAATGACAACCATAACTTGTGACCTACAAGGCATTTTGGGTTTTCTTTGGACATACAAAGAAACGAAAGTGAAATTTGTCCAAATTGGTAAGTCTTCCTTTGCGGGTTCAAATTTAGAAACCCAAATCCATGATGAGGATCTTCCTGCTTTATTATCATTTTGTGGTGTGTCAGAAGGGGGCTGGACACTTCCAGAAAGCCCCTTGGTGGAGCTCTGTTTCTAGTCAGAGAAAACGTGTGGTCCTCACGGGTCACCTTGGCTGCTACTAACGTGCACTCCCAGGGAGCCATCCAGGTAGATCAAATCCAGGCTGGTCAGGACCTGTGGGAACCGTGGCTGGGAGGGCAGTTAATTGAAGGGCAGGCCATCCACACGTAGGTCAGGCTTCCCTCTTCTCTCTGCTTTCATCCCTTTCCCCATGCCCGGGACCGCCGTTCCGTCATGATCCCCCTGCCCTGCCCCCAGAGTTGATGCCCTCCTGCTGCCCGTGGTTCATCTGAACTCTCCCCACAACCTGCTCAGGGCTGCCCCACCACCCTGGGCTGCCGTCTCCTCCGCCCACCCTTTGCCTTTCTCCCAGCAGAACAGACCACTCTGGTCCTTGGTGTGAGGAAAGCAATCCGAGCAGTTCATCTTCCCGCTCACGATGAAGTGAAAATATAGCCTTTTCGACTCTGCCTCGTTGGTTCGCATGACCTTCACACTCTTTCTCGGTCATTTCTTGTAGGTGTTAAAAAAAAAAAAAGTACTTCCTCCTCTTTGATGATCTGATTTAAAAGATAGTAATCACAATATGTTTAGCTTTGAATGAGTTTCAGAATCTGTGTCCAGGGCCATCTCTTTTTGCTTCCCAGGAAACCCAAGAGAAGTCCCATAGGTATTCTGGAACCTTCGTCAGGTTTGCCTGTTCTGAGATTTTAGAAATTAGAATAAGGTAAATACTGAGGTCTTCGGATCAGGTTGGCTGAAAGCTACGTAATGCTGCCACATAAAACCGAGGAGTGAAAGGAGTGAAGACGATAGGAGCCAGATTGCGGCCGTGCAAAGGGATACTTTTTTTTTTGAAGTTTTTTTTATTTTTTTAATTTTTATTTTGAGAGAGAGAGAGACAGAGAGAGACAAAGAGAATGAGAATGAGCAAGGGAGGGGCAGAGAGAGAGAGGGGAACAGAGGATCTGAAGCCGGCCCTGTACTGACAGCAGTGAGCCCAATGTGAGGCTCGAACTCACAAACCGTGAGACCATGACCCGAGCCAAAGTC